ATATATATTTGTGTATATATAAGCAGCAATCCTTCTTTCATGCACTTTTCATTGAATACATTTGAGTATATTTATTTATTTACATCTACCAGCCTGAATATTTCAAGAAACCTCGTTATAAAAATATGTGTCCTCCAGCAGATTTTTCTAACAAGATTTCTTGAAATATTCAAGGCCGTAGATGTAAATAAATAAATATACTCAAATATGAGTATCCATTTAGAAAATAATGTTTAAATAAATAAATTCAAATCTGTAGGCTTTAATTTTCATTCATATATATATATATATATATATATATATATATATATATATATATAAAGTGTGTATTTAGGCAGCATTTTTTCATTGATGCATGTTTCATTAAATAATATAGTTTTGTCTATTTATTTTATGTAAATTCTTTTCATATTGTCTGATTTTTCTTCTTCTTTTAATGATAATGCTATTAAGCTTATCAGACGATATGAGAATTTACATAAAATAAATAGACTAAACTTGTCTATATTATTTAATGAAACATGCATCAAAAATATATATATATATATATATATATATATATATATATATATATATATATATATATATAAGTTTAGTGCCCATTGCTTTGTAGCAGACAAAATCTATCAGCATAATATCTATCAAAGCAGAAGGTATAATTGGCAAGCAGAGTTTGAATATTCTAGACTAACCTATTGCATTCACTTTTGCAGAAATATCCTTGAGAAAGATATGAATCCTTCTCTACTCATCCCCAGCTACAAATGTTTTTCAATCCAGTTTTCATTTAGCTAATTAACTTTTGATATCTCAACTTCATGAATTTTAGCACATAACTAGATTGCTAGCAAAGTTTCATCATTTTATAGATGAATTGGCTAGATGTAACAGTAAGTTTTATGCTAACACTTTACTTGTACTTCTCATTAGTGGAACTCACTTCTGGCTTCTTGCTTTTCAGTCAACTTTGTTCTTCAAAAATTTAAATGCATGTCAATTGTTATCTTCTGTCTTCTTAATTCCTGTTCTGATAATTTGTTTCATTTTCTTTAACATTCACTAACCCTTTGTGTTTTAACAGCTTTATTCCCTCGCTTGGGGTAAAATGATAAAAAAAAATTGTCAAATACAAAAGTAGACTGACCACTTTATTCCCTGTGAGGTAACCAATCTATGAGAAGGAAAACTACAATATTTTCCAAGAATGCATGGCATTTCACAAAAAATGAAGAAAAAGGAAGCTGTTGAGAGCTGTGATCGACTACGTTCTGAAAGGACGTGGCATGTTTAAGTAACCATTTTGATGAAAACCTGCTTAAATTTCTCAGTACCTCTGATGCATGAATAACTAAACATAAAAAAATTTAATATTACCCATAATGACAAAAGTATGCATATCCCCAAAGTTAAAACACTATTATGTAACAGAACACATTATTAAATAATTTTTAGAAAATGGTATTATCAGTCCAAGGGAAGTAATTCAGGTTCATAATAAGAGAATTATTGCCCTTTATACATACGGGAGAGGAAAAAAGTTTACAAACACAGTGATATTTCAGCTTAAGTAGTTTCGAGTTAAGTCATTTTCGAAGATACGTCGTTTTTTCTTAAATATTATATGAAAAAATAAAACTCGCCTATGGTCGTTTTACAAGAGCCGGCCATTAAAAATATTAGAAACGTCAAAACACAATAAACACATATAAAATCATATTTAAATAAATTTAAAAATAATAATATATATATATATATATATATATATATATATATATATATATATCATAAAATCATCAAAAACAAAAAAATTAGCATAATAAAGTGTCTTCAGCAGATGTTCTTATTTCAAATTCCTGCCAAATGGCGGTACTCATGCATTGTTTTCCACTCCAACACCGATTTTGAATTCATACTTGTTTATATCTGTGCTCTGCCATCGACGCTCTTTCAATTACATTTCAGTTGTGATTTAGATTACATTTTTTCCCATGGGTAAAAATTAATAATTTCATTCAGAATGCTGTATATACATATCATAAATACTGTATTAGGCAATGACGATGGTTATTTGCAGTTTATAGTGTAGTTATTTTGACCTAAGTCATGACCTCTTGAACCAATTAACAACGTAGGGTGAAGTATAGCTGTACAGATGAGAAAAAAAATATTGATGCTTTCCAGAGAAAATTACTTAGAATTGCCCTCAGTATCCACTGGATTTGGAAGATCTCAAACAAAAACATTTTTTATAAGACAAAAAGCAAACCTTGAGGCAAAAGAAAGAAAAATATTCACTTCCTGTAAATAAAGTTTGTAAAATTGTAGTCAGTTTCTTCTGGATTGTAATCAGTTCCAGTAGTCCATTTTCTTATGTCAATTAATCCACTTTGGAATAGTTTACATGCAAGACACATCTGAATCTGTCTGTTTTCATTCTGGAGGTAAACCATTTTCTCTAGTGTTATGATGACTGTTGCAAAAAATGCATGCAACCCTAGGCCTCTTTGCCCTCTGCAGTAATTCACTTCACTTTCCTAGAACATATCTAATAAATACCATACAATAAGAAAAGGAGTCATGCAGAAATTTCATGGCTAAGGACAATTAAAGATAAACTTGCAAGTATAGATGTTTCAATTGACATTACAAATGCACCATCTATTCTTCAACTGGAGAACTTAGCCTCAAACAAGTGGAGTTGAAAGCAACATAAGAGATAGTTCATGCAATAATTTATTTTGCGTAATAAAAATAGTAGACGATTAAAACTAGTTTCCAAGAACACCTGTTGCTAAGGCCGTTAGTAAAACCCTATTTCAGATGGCTGCTCTACCCACATTGTCCACTTGTGGTTTATACTGTAAATACACTGAGCAGACCTTAGTAACAATTTCTGGCAGAGACCGCATAATCTGGCACGATTACTTTTTTTGAACAAGACCAGTATGCTCAAACCCTCAGTCATGACGACTTGTGACTTTGTGGTAGTATAACCATGGAAGTCTTCTAAATGGTTCCGTCTACCCATTTTCACTCACAAGGCTTCAGTCAATCAAAGTTTATTGGGTTTAATTTGCCTAAGAATAAGATAAAAAATGTCATTAAAAAAAAACTTAATATGAAAAAATATTTTTTGTTTTAACTAAAGAAAAAGGTGTTTTCTTCTTTCTATTATGGTTGAGCCTAGATCTGAACATGTTACGATTGTAATAATCCAGGAAGCATCCTCTTCTAAAAGAAAATTTTTGCCACAGTGAAAGATTCATGTTTTTTTTTTCTTTAAGTCATTTCTATCATTATAATGTAATTTGCTGTAGTTTTAGCTGCTTGTATTCATGAAACCTGAAGAAAACTATTAACACATGACTTAATTTTTTTAGTCCAAATTTGAAAAATCTAGAAAATAGCAGATGGGCTAAATAGGACCTGGTAGCACTAAACCAAGTTAAAATTCATATCCAGCACATCCAAATTACATAGAATTAAGTGTCCGATAATAATAGAATATTATATAATAATAATAACATAATCTTAAATAAAGATTGTAAGAATCTGGGATGCATCCTCTTTGGAGTTGATCCCCCAAAAGCAACAGTTTGTGGGAAGAAGCTGCTTGAGTAGAATTTACATTTCACCAATAAACTATGAAGGGAATGTGGGTGTTTCACAACAATGGGCATGGCATGGCTTAGAAGGTTAGAATGGGTGGAACTAAGGAGTGAAGTTCTTCTGAACACTTTCTAGCAGTGAGGTTAAGGAAGAGGGTTTTTTCTTCTTTCTGTACCAATCCCTATTAATTAAAAAATACTTCATATGAAACCTTTCTAGTTTCAATATAAAGCAATTAAGTAATGAAGTTTGTTGTTTTTTTTTGGGGGGGGGACACAATGAAGTTCATCCTGTCCTGAAGAGTCACTTGAGGTAGAAGGTTACAGGATAAGAGTCATAGTTTCTGCAAGTATGCGGTGAATATAACAGCTGACAATAGATTTGAACAGGTTAAGATTATAGTGATTGCGGAAACATCCACTTGGGAGTAACTTCAAAGCAGCCATTTGTGAGAATTAACTGCTCACCAATAGAACAGTAAAGGAATGAGAGTATTTTGTTACATTGCCTGTGGCATTGCTAGTTTTAGCCATGAATATCAGATGTGGTGGAACTAAGGAAAGTAGTTCATTGGAACACTTTGCATTGCAAATAGCATGTGTCCTTGAAGAAGAATTGGTTGGATGGTTGGTTTTATTTAGTGGCATATCAACACCTCTACGGATTATGTAATGCCAAAATCTAAAAATTTTATACACAATTTTTATTTTAATTTTAAAGATAAGAATGGTTTAGTGATACAAGTCTTACTAATTAACCCATAACTGGGGGAGAAGATTTGCCCTTAAGTGAATATAATGAACCCAACTGGAAATGGACCTCCAATGAATAATTCCAAGCCATTATCCATTTTGTGATGTTGGACAGCTTCATTTGTCATTTTTGCTATGTCAAGCAAAAGCTCATTATCAATTCCAAAAATGCTTGTTATATTCAAGATTTCGTAGACTAATTTGTACTAGTAGTAACACTTTCCAATAATATCCACACTAGTAATACTTGTTCAAGTAGTAATTGCCAAATAGTATAATGATCAAAAGAGAATCGTGATTGTAGTAGAATAGAGAGAGTGAATGCATAGCAATAGTGGATAGACAAGAAGAGTGATCAGTGATCTTATTTATTCACTTCTTTTATGACCACGCAATCCACTTAATAACGGAATCACCAGTGTTATACACTGGTGATCTACTTTCAAACCAGCATCAGCAAAGACATTTACTCTTATACAACAATCCATTACATTTCCCACGCATGCAAGCTTACAGTGCCATCAAACTAGGTGCTGACCAGACTCAACATTGCTTAACATCGCTGATTGTACAGGAGTCAATTCAAGAAGTAATCAAATTGAATAAAATCTTGACAATCAACTGCACTCGTTTTCTCACCTTTTTCTGTAATTAAGTGGTTACTGGTCACAGCGACATATTCCAGGCTTTTATTGATACTCAATGAACTCAATAATGGTTTCCAATCAGGCAGACTACAAAAAGAGAGAGAGAAATCTTTAATTATTTCAATATTCAAATAAATACTGCAATCAGTACAGTGGTAGCTAACAATTTATCAATCCTAAATCCATTGCCCACAATGGAACAAAATGTTCCTCAGATCTCCTGAGGGAAATTCTTGCCAAAACAATCTTTCAAATTTTGGAAGCTCACAATAGCAATAGTCTAATTTATTTTTGGGGAAAGATAACAATGCAATTTTCAAATAATTAACCAATTTTTTAAATCCAACTTTATACTTATTGGGACTTTTCAATGTCTATATCAGCGAAGTTTACTTTTATACACAAAACCTAAACAAAGAAACTTTTAAGAAAATAATGTTTTTTTTTTTTTGCCAACAATATTTCTTAATATAAACATTATGTTTAGTGGGTACACATTTTGGAGTAGACATCTGTTTCCTGAGACAGTGAAATTAATATCTACCTGCCTAGAAAAATCTAGAAAATTGAAAATCTTATTAAAGAAAATTTGCCTTTCAATGGGAAACAAAGTTGTATTCCTTTTTTAATCTGAGTAATTGGCCATAGTTAAATGTAATTTGCAGAAATGTCCAAAACAAACAGAATTGACAAGTTTGCAATAAACAATAACAAGAGAAAGAAGAGAAAAGAGGAGAAAAAAGAAGAAAAAAAGAAAAGAGAAGAAAAGAAGAGAAGGTAAAAATGATATTGAGCAAGTAAACAATATATGCAAGGCAAAGCAACAGAAATAAGGCAAAAATTCCATAAAGTAAGAATAGTTTTAACACACAAAAGGTATATAGACAACTGATCATAGTGTTCTGACTTCAATACAAGTAAAGACAGAAATATGGCAGATGAGACCGATAAGTGAACTATCTTATTGGCTTGGAAGAAATCCCAGCATGCACCTGTATGTTTTGTCTATAATTTTGGGGAGGGGGATGTTCTTGCAGTCATCCCCATAGTGATTGTAACCAACAGTAATCATCTTCAAAACACGTGTGCTTTACCATTAAGTTACAGGAAGCCATTCCAAACAATGGAAATCTCAATTATCCTATTCAATAAATGCAAATATTGGAATCATTCAACACCTGCTTTGCTTAAATTTTGGGTGCGAAAATAGGTTAACTTTAAACCTATTAATGAAATTTTTAATCCATTATTATTTCTCATTACTATCATTTTGTATTGATATAAATCTATTCTCCCCACAGCAATTGTTCTGATAAGCTTTCGTTGTTGGCACCTCAACTTCATAAATTTAAACACAGTACTAGAATGTCAGTTAGGTCTCATAATTTCATTGTTGAAATTGCTTGTTGCACCCATAAGTTCTATTTTATCAATCATTATTTTATGTTTGCTTGAATCCTGTTCTTTTATTGTCCTCTCAGTTTCATTCACTCTCAGTAAACGTTTGCCTCCAAGTGGCTTTATTACCTTGCTTCAGGTGGAATGATTAAAAACACACACAAGATTCATTGTTGAGAGAAACTGAGACAATCACAAGTGAAGGATCCTTTGAATGGAAATATGGCATCTGGAGATGAATCTATTAACACAGATTACCTCAGAAGGTGAGTAAAATACACATGATTTTCAAAGGGAAATAGAAACAGAGAATGCAATTCTGGAGGTTGGTGCAGAATATTGGTTTTTAACATTCAAAATGAATGAACACCGAGCAAACATTGTTTTCAAAGGTTTATATTCTTTTGCATACAAATACAAACTTGTATCCTCCTTGTGTGACAGAGTTGGTAGCTCACAGTACATTGAAATAGAGTGAGACTTTTCCATTTTTCCTGATTAGTTCTTTGATATTTATAGGAGTGGATCAGTCTATCCCACTTTCTGGCAAAATGGGAGAAAGAACTAACCTTGAAGCCCTCTTTTCCTGGGTTTAGCTTAAATTAGTCTCTATTAGTAAGACATCGCTCGTACAATTGAAGATACTGCTGGTTCAATCTGCTGTTTTTGCTTTCGGAACACTTCCAAATGTAAAATCAGTCTCTCCTTCTCACTGCTTTAGCCCTCTTTTATCAGGCCAACACCGCAGTTGACCAACCAATCAGCGTTCTTTGTTTTATTCTGAGTTACCCAGGTAAATAGCCTCTTTCAGTTCAACCAATCAGCACGCAACTTGCTATTGTTAGAAGCATGCCAAACTGTACAAAAACCCTTGTTACTGCACATAATGCTGGAATTGCTAGACAGGAGAGTAATGCCATTTCCAAGGAGCAAACTTGCCAATGCCACTTGCTGCAAGTTGAGGTAAGACCCTTATTTTCCTATGCACTAAATGTAAGCTACTCTGGCTCGCTTGCTTCTATGGGACTGTTCACCACAATATTGTAGGTGGTAAGTGGACATCGAGTATATTGTCATTTGCTTTGGTGCAGGGTATTTGATCTTTTGTTTTACTTATCCAAGTATCTGCTTTCAGAAATGATTAGCTGATTGACCTGTCCTTAAATGTATCGGGTGTTAATGTTGAAGTGCTAAGGAGATGATAAATGGATGATTCTTTTTAGGGAATTTAAGAAATATTTTTATTTTATTTATTAAACTTAACCTACTACTAAGTTCTTGCCCAAAACACTGTGAGTGAGCAAAAAAGATATATTTAGAAATAAAAGTAGTTTTTATCTATTTTTTACCAAGTAATTGTTCTGACTTGGATTTGTTTGTTTAATCATTATTATTAATTTTATCATCTTGAAGTATTTTATCTTCTAAACTTTTATGGTTAGAAATATCCTCCTCTGGATTTTGATTATAATTTTTTATTTTTCATTCATAAAATTAAGTTAAAATAAACACTGAATTACTGCAACTCTTTAATTAATTAGAAGAAAAATATTATTTGAGGTATGTAATTAAACAAAATTTGTTAATTACTGATCATATAATGGCATAAACAAACAAATAATTCTCAGATGAGACACATAACAGATACTTTGAAAAGTGTCTTTTAAAAAATGTATGCACAAAAAAATGGTCTACGAGTTTAAAGAATAAAATTTATATCATTAAAAAGAATTACAGAAAAATTTGAGAGAATTGTTTTTGTTCCATTATATAGAAACAAGAATTCTTTTTGTTTAAAATTTGTTTTTAGATTTGTGTAAAAACAAAGAACACAGACAGAAGGGTTCAGTATCAAAACATACCCCCACCCATTTTTAAAGTCTGTTAAAATTTTAACAATTAATGGAATTTAATGAAACTTTCAGGATTTTTTCAGTGTTACTAAAGAAAACTAATTTTGAGAAGCATTTCAAATAATTCCCACCTGATTTTGTCTCCATTCAAATCAAGGATTCCTTGAGAGAGATGAGCTTTGACAGCAGGCAGTGGACAGCAGTCATGAAGGGCACAAACACTGTCATAGTGAGACTCAAAGTCATAGGCCCCTCTTTGGCGAATGTGAACACTCTCCATTTCAACATCAATGGCTGGAGAAAAAAAATTAATAGAACACATTTTCAAATATTGGAAAAAAATTCACAGAAAATACATGCACTTTCTTTAGCAATTCAGATTTTTGAATTGGAATTACCTTTTTTTCGGAAGGAAGGAGAAGTAATTCCCAAGGTAAGTGAGAAGAAAGCACTAAACATCAATTACAAAACTGAAGGCATATTTGGGATAGTGAAAAACACCTTCCAAAAGCTAAGCAAAGTATTAAAAAACAGAAAAATATCATTACAAAGAAAAGTGTACTGAACTGTTCAGTATTATCAGTCCTCCTCTATAGAAGTGAATACTGGAGAATCTTACAGATGAAGAAGAGACTTGAAGCAACAGAAATGTGGAAGGATGCTAAGAATACCATGGATCAAACATGTGAGCAATGATAAAGTTCTAGAGACAATGTCAACAAAAAGACACTTAAAATCAGGAAGAGATAGTTAAAAATTTCTGAGGAACATAATGAGGAAAGAGGGCTTGGAAAATTTGATACTCATAGGACAGGTTGAAGATAAGGGGGCTAGAGAAAAGCATCACACAACTTACCTGGCGAGCTTGAGTGAATGGATGGCAGAGTAGGATTTGGGAGAGATGGCAAAGACAAATTATTAATAGCTACAAATGTCTGGAAATTGTGAAAAGCCATGATTACCAACATCCTGAACAGATATGGCATATAAAAAGACAATGACCAGAAAATATACACAAGTTAAAAAAAAAAATATTATTTTGGTTTTCATCAAACATTAAAAATTTATTATTTCAATGACAAGAAAATGATTAGATTTTATTAAAAACTCAAATTAGTTTTCTGTCTCTGAATAAATCTTTAAACTGCAGGTGCTTTTATTGATTAACTTAATCTATCAGTGAGAATCAATCACAGATTTCCTTTAAATCTACAATAACTCATACATTCCTTAGTTCCCCAAGTTCAGACATTCACAACTAAGACCCGCCATGCCATATATACAGGCTTGATTCATCCACATTCCCTTTGTATTCCATTGGTAAGGAGGAAGTTCCACTCAGACAGCTTCTTCCCTAGAACTCTGGAAAAAACTCCCAAGAGGGTGCTTCCCCAACCACTATGATCTTAACCTCTTTAAAGCCTAAGATCAACCATTATCTATCCTACATATCCCCATAATATGCACTTCTTATTTCTTTCTTTTATGCACTTAACAACCTCAATTCAATAACCTTCTATACTGAGTGGTTCTTATATTGAGTGAACAAGAACATAAAAAAAAATTTACTAAGTTTAGTTTAATACAACACAAATCCAAAAAGAGGAAAATGGGTTTAAGAAATATTGTGTTATATCAAGCCACCAAGTGGAAACAAAATACGTTGAAAATCATCATTTTGCATTCTGGCTTTGCTTAAATACCAGCCATTCACACTGTTCAACAATATACAACCACTTCAAGAAACCAAGCAGGTCTGACACAGTGAGATTTACTTAATGCTTTACATAATCTACGACATCACAGAATGCAAGGAAGAAAGACTAAGAGATTTTATTAGATCTACTAAAAAATTCTTCAAATAGAATTAAAATAATTACCAAGAGCTTAAGAGTTAAGTCAAAGTTAACATTATAATATTGGGTGAATGAGAAAGTTTATTTAGCTAATTAAGTCAAAAATAAAAGACAAATTTTCTTTTCTTTTTCTGGATGTTAACTTTACTGAACAACATATTCAGGATTTTGTTCTAAGTTTCATAATTCTATCCTTGTAGAACAGTTCAACTTTCTCAGCAAAGAACTGTGCTTCGTGTCTTTTGCAGTCTTCTACATACAACTTGTTTTTGTTTTGTTGAAATTGTTTTCATTAAGAGAATTCTGTAAAACTAGAATAAATGGTAATCCAAAAGATGCAATTTCTCTAGTGAATATGGCAGCTAAATCAAAATTTTCCAGAAAATCTGGAACAATGATTTACCTTATTGCCAGAGAAACACACAGTTAAGTATTATTCTTATAGAATTTTATGGCCTTTCCTTTTATTACTGTTTACTGGTTTATTGTCTACAGCTTATCAACCTTTTGCAGGTTATTTAAAGACAGAAAATATTTTTAGATTGTAAGAATTGTTTTTTTTTTTTTTTTAGATAATAATGGTTTAGTGATACAAGTCCTATTAATTAACCCATGTATGGGGGGGAGAGAAAAGGTAGATTTATACCTTTCCCAAGGGTATTTTAGCCTAAGTGAATATAACAAACCCAACAGGAATTGGAACTTGGCTCTCCAATTAACAATTCTAAGGCATTATCCATTACGTCACCCACACATTCAAGTTTACAGCACCTGGTATTACCAAGCGGTTAGCCATCTAAGTACCGACCAGGCTCAATGTTGCTTAATTTCAGTGATCATACAGAAACCAGTGTTTCAACACAATGTGTCTGTAAGCCACCTTTCTTTTTGCTCGTTCTTCAACAGCTGCTTTTAATTAATACGCAGCATGAAATTCAGTATTAATTATAGATTTCTACCTGTACTGTATTAATGCAGACCTACCTAAAAATAGGAATGGTAAGATTTACTGAATTAATTAGTCTACCTGGCAACAGGATTTCCTCAAGTCAAACATTTGATTATCCATAAGAAGGTCAAGGTAAAGAAATGCCTCCAAAGCCAGCCATTCCTTCCTTTGGATAAAAACACATTGGGTTGTGGTTCATTTCTTTTGCTCTACAATCTCTCGCATTTTACGTTGACAAAATTTGTTTCAAAAGCAGAACATTTTCATTGCATTTAACTAGCAAATCAAACATGGAAATATCGTCAAGAAGGATTTTTCTTTTTTGGCATTTTTAATTATGTGACTAATATAAGCAAGCTGCTACAAAGAATTTTCAACAGATATTGTGAGTATATTGGCTTTTCCTCACCACTACCACCACACCACCAGCCATGATATCATATAATGTTTATTGTCCACGTTTAAATTTGATATTTATGAACCTTAACTAATCTGACCATGGAACATCATTCAGGGAGAAATACCCCCTGTTTATATGCTTAAACACCCCTAGAATTTTCACACGTTTTGTAGGCCTATCCTTTGACAAATGTTTTTTTCTAAATTTTAGCCAAATAAAATTAGCAGCATGTAGAATAGTATCTGAACAAAAGTAGAGATAACAAGACAAAGTGGCAAATCTTGGTATTTTCCCTCCTTATGGACTCAGAATTGGATAATTCAAATCCAACAGAAGTTAACAGCTTCAATAAAAAAAAAAAATTTAATGGCCATAGCATCTGGTAAGGTTATTATCCTTTTCACAAAAATTCTAATGCACTTTCCTTACATACAAGGGTAAGTATATCATTGCAACCAGGGGATAACTTCCATAAAGTGGTGAAACACATTGTTTGAACAAGTTTTTCCACTTTCTCTCATTATTTCCCCAAATAAGATTGTCGAGTTTTATCAGGAGACATATGACCCAACATAAATTTTGTGTTTTTGATATTTTTTAATCAGCTGGAATTTATAGGTTAAAAATAGGGCAGATTGGTCTCTATAGCCATGGTTGGCAACTAGTCTAGGAGAATGACAACCTGAAGCTGTATAAAATTTGTTAGACATGGGATGCAGATACTATTTTTGTAAAACAAAACCACAATATATTTAAAAAACCATGGATAATTCCACTGGAGAGCAAATTGTCCAGAGTGTTTTTGACACCAACGGGCACTAGTCCAAAGAAAGATGGATGGATGGAGGGAATTTACTGTGCATTGAATACTATTGACATATCTGATCTAGTGCTACTGCTGTACAGCACATGATACATGACAAATTCCAAAGAAAGGTCTGTAATGTAATCGATCCTGATCAGGCATCTCAACTTCAGTCACTTTCTCACTGATGTGACAGCTTCCCCTTGTCTTTTCTACAAATATTCTTATGGCAACTGCTCTGACCAGCTTTTTTCCCTGGTTCCCTGACTACATGAATTTAAGCAAGCTACAAGATTGGCAACTAAGTCTTACCATTTTACTGTTGAACTAGATAGATTCAGCCATCACTTCTACTCTAACAGTTCATTTTCTCACACTTCCCACCTGTGGAATTCCCTTCTGATTTCTTGCTTCCCTGATAACTACAATCTTTAACAATTTAAATGCAACGTCACTGTCACCTTCTGTCTACTTGAACCCTGTTCCTTTATTGTCTTTCCCTCAATCCTCCCTATTAAAATCTTATTCTCTTTCACTCCCTGTAACCCCCTGCATTCTAGTGGCACCCCTATCTTGCTTGGAGTGAAATGATATTAAAAAAAGAAAAAAAAAAAAAAAGAATTCAGGTTGATTTACTTCCTTCACTTATCTTTGATATTGAATACAAGCAAAAGTCTAAATAGGTATACTTCGGTTATTGGGAACTGAAACCAGTTAATTTAATCATGGTGTTTCTGATCATGTGTGGAAAGTGGCAATTGCTAGCCTCAGAGAAATCTCTATAATCGTGTTACAATGGTACATCCTTACTGTAAAGCTTGAACAAGTCTGGTAAGAAGAAACATCCTTGTCTTACACTCTTTTCTATTTTTGTATATTTACTGAATTCATTTTCTATCTATATGCTGGTGGTTTGCTGTCAGTATAGGTTCCCAAATATATCAAGCTTACTACCATTTCATCCACATCCTGACGGGACACAGCAAATAAAAGAAAAAGAAGACACTTCCTTTTGGGTAATTTCCAGTGACAAATATGAATTCAATACACCCCTCCACAAATAAAAAAAAAATGGAATAGAAGTCTAGATCATTCTTCTCTAGGTCAAATGCTGATGCATTAATGATTATTGCTGAAACAGTGTGTCAAACTTTAGATAACAATGGTGAAGCTTAGACTGTTGCTTTGGATATCTCTAAAGCATTTAACAGGATTCGGTATATTGGTTTTCTTTACAAGCTGAAAGTTTTTGGTATTTCTAAACAAATGTTTAAACTGATTCAGTCTTTCTCATTGAATTGTGAAATGAAAACTGCCTTGAACATCTACTGTTCTAGATCTTTTCATTAATGCAGGTATTCCCTAGTGTTCTAGTCTTGGCACCTACATTGTTTCTAATTTTCATCAATGACCTTTGTGATAGCATCAGTTCTCAACTTGATGTCTATGCTAATGACACAATCATTTATTCCTGTCTTATTAGTAAGTCTGAGCAGTTTGATAAAATCAAATTGGCAGCTGATCTCAAAAGTGACTTGGATTGTTGTTAATTGGAGCAAGGAATGGCTTGTTAATTTTAATACTTATAAAACAAAACTGCTCTCTATTAATCATTAGAGAACTTTTCCTGCTTGCCATCAGCAAGGCTGGTGCTAACCTCCAAGAAAGTGACTCATTGTACCTTTTCAGGCTAACTTTTTCCACTGACATGAAGTGGAAAGATTATATTGAATCGATTGCTAGGTCAGGTTCTTAGAAGGTTGTTCGATTGTGTCATGCGAGACAATTTTTCTTGCCAAAATCCGCCTTACATATCTACAAACCAGTTGACCATTCATCCATGCTTTGAATATTGCTGCCACCTCTTGTCTGGTGTTCCTGCTATATCTAGAGATCCTTGATAAAACCCTAAGAAGAATCTGCAATGTTATTGGCCATGACCTTTGGCACTTTCCCACTGACATAATATAGCTTCCCTATGCCTTTTTTATAAATATTTTCATGGTAAATGATCTGATGAACTCTCCCCATGGTACACCTAGACTCAATGAATCTCCTCATTTTACAATCCTTTAAAAAATGTTCATATTCAAAATTGACATTAAAATTTATATTTTTAGATTCCTCAAAAATGGTTTAAAAAAAAAAAAAAAGAAAGAAAAGCATCTCGTTATGATCAGTAAAATGATGAACTTCAAAATCACTCTGAAAAATTTCAAGTAATTGCTTTAAAAATAAATATTCAGGAGATTTTTTTTCCTGTCTAATATGAAATAAAATGTGTTTTATCAAATTATGCAATTTTTCTCAACAGAATATATCTTACATATTTGTAAGTTTATTATTTGTCCTTGCATTGAATATTGCTGCCACATCTGCTCTGGTGTTTCTGCTATATATCTGAAGATCCTTGATAAAATCCAAAGAAGAAATTGTAATGTTATTGGTCCTGATCTGGCATCTCAGCTTCAGTCACTTGCCCACTACTATAACATAGTTTCACTGTGCTTTTTCTATAAATACTTTCATGGTAATTGTTCTGATGAGATTTTTTTTATTTATACCTCAACTTCACAAATTTAAGCACAGTACAAGATTGGCAGCTTGGTCTCATCATTTTACAGTTGAAATGATGGCTAGATGTAAGCATAAGTTCTATGCTAACAGCTTCTTTTCTTGCACCACTTACTTGTGGAACTCATTTCCAGCTCCATGCTTTCCAGCCTACTTTGATTTTCAAAAATTTAAATGCAATGCCATATATTATCTTCTGTCCTCTTAAATTTTGTCCTTTTACCATTCTCACACCTCAATAATGTTCATTCTTTTCTTATACAGGGTGTGATGAATAAAGTGTTGTCTAAATTACGCAAAAATGAAAATAACACTAACATCTCATTTTAACAGATATATTTACCAAAATTATACAAAGATATCTTGAAATACTAAAGGTTAAATTTATTCAATAAAATTGTCATTGGCTTCAACTGCAGCCTCTAGATAGCTTTGTAATCTCCTGTAACTGTAACTCTTCTGACGGTTTCCTTGTTTAAGTTTATGAATGCAGACATAATCCTTGCCTTCAGTTCATCTTTGGTATTACAAGGAGTTTTGTTTGTCTCTTGCTCAACTGCGCCCCAAACATAATAATCATGGGGATTGCAATCTGAGTAGTTAGGTAAGATGTAAGGAGTGATGCGGTCACAGACATTGTCTGGCAGCCATGACTGGGTTCACTTGCTTGTGTGGCATGGTGCAAAGTCCTGTTGTCAGATATAGAGTCTTCCAGCAACCTTTCTCTTAACCCAGGGCAGCACTTCCTCCTGAAGGCACTTAATGTAGGCCTCCATGTTGAGGTTGAAGGCGTGTGGAAAGATTAATAGAGACACTAGTGATCACTCCGAACACCTTTGTAATCACCATTAGACTCATCCAACTCTTTCTGAATCCTCTGCACTGCCCTTAGATTGACACCCAAATACTCTGAAATGTTCATATTGGAGCTTCTAGCACAAATGCCAAGCAGTACAGATTTATTAAATCTCTTATGACAGATAACTGTATAGATTTCTGGATGAGGAATTATCATTGTTTACATTCATAAATTATGTTAATAGATAGAGAAATGACAACAAAGCTCAGAAGTAGCAGTAAAAAGAGAAGTCTCAATGAGTGCAGTCAAGCAGAAGGAGGCAGGTTAGGTTTAAGGCTCCAAGTTTTCACTCATGATTGTCCCGCTTGAGGTGAAATGATTAAAAAAAAAAAACACAAGGAAACTTATGTTGAAGACTGATAAATGGTATCCAAAGCAGGTCAATATAACATGAAATAAAAGTCAGTTATGTGCCATGCATGATACACGTTTAGGCGATCATGTATCTTTCGATACATGACTGATGAGGCAGATTTTTTTCCCACAGTAGGTTGCCATTTCTTTCTGCAGTAGACCAGTTGCCATCCAAGGCTAGAGAACCCAGCCTGTCCTGCTATTTACCCATAGCTGGGGGGAGAAGAAGAAGAGGATTCATACCTTTCCCAATGTTAGCACATCGGACAATCAATTATGTGTCATGCGTCATACACTCTTAGGCGATCATGTATCTTTTCGATACATGACTGATGAGGCAGATTTTTTTCCCACAGTAGGTTGCCATTTCTATCTGCGGTAGACCAGTTGCCATCCAAAGCTAGAGAACCCGGTCTGTCATGCCATACCCATAGCTTGGGGGGGAGAAGAATAGGATTCATATTCCAAGTCACTATCCATTACTCCGCTGGAACGAAATTAGTATATTTTAATTACTCAAATTTTTTTTAATTTTTTTAAAATAAACACTAATTTTTATATAATACTTTACTTTTCATAATTAGAGTGTAGTGGTTACTGAGCTCATTTCACAAGAAATTATGGTTGATATTCTTGTGTCAAACTAGATGAAATAATATTTGCTTATAACATTAGTTCCCCTATCTATGGGCTAAACAGCAGAACTGTCTGGGCTCTTTAGCCCTGACTGGTAACCAAATCAGGAAAAGGACAACCCCTGAGAACTGTTTGGGGTCTTAATGTACACTATGTGCCCCAGTTCCCTGTATTCAGTTCTATGGTAAAAGTGTGGTTGGTTCTGCACAAGGCTTCACTATCAAATCAGATGTCGTCTGGTATCAGCTATAGGATTTTTTTTCCATATATTACTATTGTTTAAGCAATCCTGAACCAAGACCAACACCAACAAACGTCAGACATTTACCAACCGATGTCTCAGGAACATCCTCAATATCAGATGGCCGGAAGTTGTCTCCAACAATCAATTGAGGACAGGACCAGACAAGCCCCAATCGAGACTGACATCAAGAAATGGAAATGGGGATGGATCGGCCACACACACTGCAAGCCTGCTTCTAGTGTCACCAGGCAGGGCCTTGATTGGAATTCACAAGGGAAGTGAAAAGTGAGTTGATCAAAACAGACTTGGTGCAGAAGTGTTGACACGGAAATGAAAGCAGCTGGCACGACATGGGCCAGGCTGAAGAGGATCGGCCAGAACAGCATCCGTTGGAGAGGTGTTGTTGCAGTCCCATATTCCTCAAGGAATACAAAAGTCTTAAAGAAGAAGACGTACTCCTGATTACGAATTAAAAACAAAACAAAACAATTAACATTACTAGAACTATACTTTCTTTTGTATGAGCATATTTTGTTTTGGCTTCCATGGTGTAGGGAGATCATTTTATTTTTATAGTACTGAATTTACATTCCCCTATTAACTTTAATTTATAAGCCCCTCACCCAGGTCATGACCATTTTATTAAGCGTAGCTTAGTTGTGGCACAAGGCCAAAAGTATGGAGAACCCAATGAGGATCGAACTTACTACATCACAAACATAATATCACGAATATTAATAATAATATTATCGTGATATAGTGAGTTTGATGCTCATGCTCATTGGATGCTCCATAATTTCGGCCTTGTGCCACAACTACGCTACGTTTAAAACTGTAAAAGACTCGTGATCTGGGATTCTCCTATAGTGGATCTATCCACAGAATACGATACCTAAGGTTTAAATTTAAAAATGAAATGAATTTTTAAAAATGAAAATCTTTCTTGCTGCTTTTATTTTTTTTTAGTTTTAATTTCAAGCTAATAGATTAAATTTAATATTTCCAAGAAGCAAAATATTTTTTTTCTGTATTTCAAAAGTCAAAACTAACTAAAATTGATTGGAAGAATCTATAAAACAAAAAAAAAACAAAAAAAGATTATTTCTGGTCGGGGTGCCTCGCCATGCACAACTGCAGCATAATTTCAAAAGAAAACAGCTAAAAACTAAAAGAAAAGTTTTATTTTTCTATGAATTCTTTGCCAAATGAATGACTTTTGATTTATTTTTGAATAATAAAGCACCAACATTTCACCAGAAAAATGAAAATAGTCAACTAAAAAGTTTTAAAAATTGTAAGTTAATTTCCTTTTTGTTAGTTTCATTTTAAACATGAAACGAAATAATAAAGAATAAACAAATAGTGAAAAAAATAACTTACTTCAATTAATTTATATCTATATTTTTTTAAATGGTAATTTATTGAATTTTTATCAATTAGCGCATTAAAGAAAATATTTTTTACACTTATTATTAATTAAACAAATTTTTTAAAAAAGTGTTAATTTTTAATAAATGCCTGTAAAAGTATAAAATAGTTGTCAAATATTGTTTTTACACTGAAAAAGGTAAAAATAATATAAAAAGACTTTTTTCAAGTGTTTATCAACCGGTTGTTAGGAAATCTGTTTTTATTTTTAAGTAAACGACGACGACATTGTTTGTTATTGTTTTATAAACACTGGGACGAATTTTCGGAAAAACGTAAAAAGAACAAAAAAACAAGGATAATACTTACCAATCTGTAGCCAGGATTATCCAACGTAAACAATAATCTGTTTATTAGGGAAAATAGATGTGCTTTTTCACTTTAAACCTAAAAAAAAAAATCATGCACGCGAACACACGACATGTACAGTCATGCACGAATCGCTTGACAACCAACAAACGAAAATGGCGGGCGTTTGCTAGGGTAGCATACAAAATTGGATCGGAATAAACGAAACGAAATAAAAAATTGTATAAGCAAAAAAAAAAAACATATTATTCTTTAAATTTTACTTAATAACATTTTCAAAAAATGAATGACTAATTTTGTGTGTTTAAATACAAAGACGATGGAGCCAATTGATTATTTTGACGTGTAAAAATTTACACGTATATATGCAAACTTTACAAAATCAAGTTTTGATTTACTTTTTTAGTTTTAATACTGATTCAAATTTTTTTATGGTACAAACAATAACAAAGAAAAATAAATGTTGCTTACATTGGCATTATTTGCTGCTTTTACTTTCAAATTTTTGCATTCTCTCTCTCTCTCTCTCTCTCTCTCTCTCTCTCTCTCACACACACACACACACACACACACACACACACACACACACACACACACACACACACACATACCTCCAGCATGTTTGTTGTCATGGCACTCCATAATTTTTTTTTTTAATACTTATCGTTCAGGGAAGATAGTGGAGTGGTTTCCTCGTCACCCTTGAGAAAATTTCGTAAACCAAAACTTCAGTAAATAATTTGAGTATCGAAACTTCATCATGAAATAACAAATAATTTAATTATAAACAAGGTTTATAATAAACACAACATTGTTTTTATATACAATAACAGAGATTACTAGAAAGAAAGAAAGAAAGAAAGAAAGAAAGAAAGAAAGAAAGACAGAAAGAAAAAAGTCCTTTTTGTGTGTGTAATGTTTAAAGTCTGTACTTGTTTCATGTAGAGTTTATAAGTGATTTAGAAAATAAACTCTATTTCCAACACAAATGCATACCCACAGATATGCCATATTAAAACCCGCTCCAAACTTTACTTTCTCTACCTAATAACAAACAATATTGCAAACATGCCAAAAAAGATCGTCGGAGTTAACTCCTCCTTAATTGTCCAAATTGTTCACTAGGAGACGCTCTCCCTACACTACTAGGCGATTTCTTGCCTCGTTCTCTTTTTACTTTTTATTTCAGCGGACACATTTAAAAATGCGATCTCTTTTGCTGGAGTTAATTCCTCCTTAATTGTCCAAATTGTTCACTAGGAGACGCTCTCCCTACACTACTAGGCGATTTCTTGCCTCGTTCTCTTTTTACTTTTTATTTCAGCGGACACATTTAAAAATGCGATCTCTTTTGCTGGAGTTAATTCCTCCTTAATTGTCCAAATTGTTCACTAGGGGACGCTCTCCCTACACTATAAATACTGGGCGATTTCTTGCCTCGTTCTCTTTTTCATTTCTTCATTTTCAGCGAACACATCTACAATGTAAGCTTTCGCAGAAGATTGCGTCTTCCCATTTGTGGGAGACGCCATGAACATTATACACACATACACGTACGTACGAACATTAACCAAAATACAAACACTTTACGTTCACACACAAACACAAATGTTAATGTCTATGTCATTGTAAATTTTGTTGTTTAATACATACTTGTTTGTATATATATATATATATATATATATATATATATATATATATATATATATATATATATATATGATTTTTGATTTTCACTTCTTTATGGTGGATTCAATCTATGAGTTCGCCATGTTCTTGTATTAGACCTTCTTCTCACAGGAATAAACACACTTGTTCCTATTTTAGCAACACGTAAACCCATGGTCCGCTACAAGATTCCACGATACAACACACATCGTTCGGATCAAATTGTCTGTTGGTTAGAAATTAACATTTACCATGTGAAATATTTGACCAATCAGAGAAAACAAAAAATTTTTATTTTTTTATTTTTTTTTTTTTTAGGAAAACACAGATTTCGGGTTTCAGGAAGCAGAGATGCGACTGTCTCCAAGCCTAACACAAGCCGACATGGATGCATAGATTTTTTTCCAACTGCTACCCCACCCAACGAGCGCTGAAAGAAACATGCGTGAGCGCCTTCAAACGAACTACAACAATAGTATGGCCGGCCAGTCGGTGACTTCAAACGAACCATCGCCAACAATAACAACAAAGATAGCCAGTGTATCTTCGCTAACGATCTTTTCTCAACCTCAGCTTTTTCTTTTTGTGGATAGTTTCTGTGTACCAATTGCTCAAAAACTTAACTCAGCTAAGGACTATTTTTATTGCTTTTTTTAACTCTTTTGAACTCATGTACACATGTTTGTAAATACAAAGTATCTATTTAACAGATATACCCACGTTTTCTTTATTTTTATTTTTATTATTTTTTGGGAATCCTACGTTCAGATTTTCAATATAAAAATATAAAAAAAACAGAGTAACTGCGTAAGTTCAAAGTACGTTCATTGAGCAGCATGTGTTAGATTCATTGAGCAGCTGTGTGTGTGTGACTTATGAGAGGCTGATTTAAAATTGCTATCAAGACCGCCTTTTAAGAGAAGAGTTGACCGATAAGACTGCTTACTTAATTGCTGCTGATCAGACAGCACATGTTTCTGGCTGTCCAGTCATGCTGGAACTTTTGTGTGTGGGTGATTGGTGCCTGTGTATAGGCGGACTCTGTGGCTGTTTCTTTGTTACAATGAACTGATGCTGCTGCTTGTGAGCTATAATGATTGTTTAAAAATGGTATGATACATGTTTATGTTATTCAGTTATTATTTTTATTTCGTTAAATTAGGGATGATGTCCTTACGCCTTAATGTCCTGTGGAGAGTCAGTAGGGTCTGGAGTTGATTCTTGTGTCGTGTTGACTGACCGAGGTTACCGGTGGTAACGGTGACAGCCTGCTTGCCCACCTACCGATTGAATTCGGTCTCGTGAATGGTCTCCTTAAAAGCAAACGGTGTGGATACATGACTCAGTGTTTCTTCTCATGCTTTTGTTTTAGCAGCAACCTTCGTGATTGGCTCCTTTTGAATTGTATTTTATCTTGTGGGGGTGTTTTGTGAGCCGCATGAAATTCTTGGGGCCCCAACACAGGGAGCAGCTTTTTATTTTTAGCTTTGCTTTGGTAGCGTTCATATCTGACTGACAGATTTTGATGTAGAGTGAATCAGAAAGAGATCTAATTTGAAGTATAACAACATCTTCAAGTCTCGGGTCAACTATCTACTAGTAAACCTCTAACGAATGACTCTTGGGCCTTATATTGCGTGAAGAATAGCAAAAAAAGAAAAACTTTAAAAAAATTACCAGCATAGAAATTGTAACTTTAGACAATATTCATATTTTATTGTCAGTTAGTTATTTAGTTTACTGATGAATATCAATTAACTAGTATGAATTAACAACAGGTATGGTTCCTACACCTCCCATCAAATGCGAAGAAGTACTAACATGGCAAGAGGCGTTGAGGGTTAACTAAGATAACTTCAGTCAGTTATGTGTCATGCGTGATACAGGCTTAGGCGATCATGTATCTTTCGATACATTACTGACGAGGCAGATTTTTTCCCGCTGCCATCCAAGGCTATACAACCAGGTTTGTCTTGCTATTTACCCATAGCTGGAGGGCGAAGAAGAGGATTCATACCTTTCCCAAGAGTATTAGCACGTAAGTGAATGTAATGGATTCAACTGGAATTCGAACTCGGCTCTCAGATTTCTCATTCCGAGCCGCTATCCATTACTCCACCGTGCCTTAATGTTACAGAAAAGACATTATCTAAATTCAAATTGTCATTTGCCAAGAGAACCAAGGCTAAGAAAAATATTGGCATATATATAACACAATATGAATTAAAATTATGTTCAGACTCCAACGATTTCAATTAAAAGAGCCAGGCTTTTGGCAAAGTACTCGAGGCTCTCATCAATGCCGAACTTAAGGCATCTTACTTCGCACGACCATCTTTCGAACAAACAATATGGCTTCCGTTTCACCAGGTCTCCCCGCCCAGATATAAACCCTTGTTCAAATTAACTGAAACAAAACGAATAATTCCATTATTATTTGCTTTTTTTTTTTCGTATTTTTCCAATGAAACATGACCCAATGCACATGTTAGTACTTCGTATGTCCATTCCACGAAGTCGTTCCTTGCAGATAGACCACAGATTCTTGATTGGATTTAAATCAAGAGAGTTTCCGAGCCAGTCTATAGTACTTTGATTTGCTCACTGGTAAGGCTTGCCAGTGTGTTCGTGCAGCGTTACAAATTTTGATACGTTTCCTTGGAGTAACGTCCATCGCAGACAATGGCGATAGGACAACTAATCAACAATCGGGACAATAGTGTTTGGGCGTAATGAAATTCTGATGCAACCACGGATAACGCAATATTCTTCAATGAAAAACAAATTTCATCACACACCCCGAAAATAGATTTATATTACTACACATCAGTGCAAATGACCTAATCTAAAGAAAAATAGAAATCGATTACACCCTGTCATTTCAGTGGGTCTAAAACTGACTGTATGGTGAAAGAAAGGAAACTAAAGTGGTTGTTTCAATTAATTTGAACAAGGATATAAATGCGGCGTTGCCTGTAGTCAACGTATTGGTCGATGGGGGGGGGGTGATCACTTCTCAATGACTCTGGCTGCTCTCAGACGATTGTTAGTGCAGAGCGATGCCGGTTGAGGACTGGAAAGTACGTAGATGATCAGTAACAGAATGCGGGCGTGCTGTGGTGACGGGACCGTTAATATCTGTACAGACAGCGGCAATTAAGCCAAAGTTCTTGTCTTTGTGATGCGAGACAAACCTCTAGGCTTTGACTTACTGGAATAAATGCGATTACTGCATTAAATGGCATCCATATCACGCAAACTGGAGTCGTACGGTTCTGCATCAAAGAAACAATAACATAAGCGGCGATCTTTATTGACCAACATGACTTTTTTGTGGAATTCAGCCACCAGTAAAGTATCTGGACAGCAAAATGGAAGTGGTCAGCAAGTGTGGCGCCGGCTCGGTTACACAAGGTGTCGGAGTATCCCGTTTCAAAGAACGTTAGGGACGCCTATCAACAAGAACTCCAGATATGGATTAGCAATCGTTGAATAATACTATAGCCTGAAAAAGAAACTAGAGATACCACAAAGGCTTAGTGTCATTAATGGACGACGTGCAGCACAACAAAGGAAAGGTGCGCCCAGTGGTGGACTATCGTGAGGTCAACGAACACGACGTTGCGTTCACTGAAAAAGCAGACGTTTGTTCGGCCAAACTGCGTGAGTGGCTCCAGCAAGGGGCAAACGTGCCCATACTTGACTTGTAAAAAGCCTATCTTCAAGTACACGTACATGAGTCACTGCGGCCATATCAAACCGTGATGATCAAGGGGAAGCGGATTTGCCTAATGTGTTTGGGATTCGGCCTTAACGTGGCACCTCTGGTCATGAAGTCCATTATTGCCACCATGTGGTCACAGGAGAAGACAGTTGATAGAGAGACGTCGGTGTACATTGATGATGTGTATGTCAATGAGAGCATCATGTCTGCAGAACAGGTCAGGTCAAAATTGGCCCAGTGTGGGGTGATGCGCAGACACAGAACGTTTTAAGGATGGGGCTCGCGTGCTTTGACTAGAAGTCAGGTGAGAGCGTAACACTCTGCGGTGGATGCGGGGAAGCGTGATCCCAAATGTCCCTGGTGTTTAGAATATTTTCTCACTATGCAGGAAGCTGGTGTATGGCTGCGTGTGGCGACCGGGTTCATCAAGCAGCGGAAAAACACTGTCAGAAAAGGATGGGATGACCAAATTGATAACATCGCCCCTCTAAATAGATGGTAAAGGAAACTATAGAGTGCGACAGAAAGATCCTGCCCGGGGTGACTGTGTGTGTGTGCGTGTGTGATGCGGCATTCACCCTGGGCGGATTGAGCCGGCTTCTTCCTGTTGTGAGAAGAAGATTCTTGGGATAAATTACAGAAGTAGGGTACCCAGGCCTACTCGGATAACGTTCTTGCTTGCCGCGGGATTTCCACAGACGCAGAGACAGGAACGACCAGAAGCCGCCGGTTGCCGATGCAGACGCTCCTTGGATTTTCACCAGAGCCCTTGTTAGCCGACGTGTGTGTCAGACCTGTCCGCCTTGGGTGGCCCTACCAGGAACGAAGTTCCGGACGGCATAGCTCTGACACTACCGTTTACACCCCCCACCACCGACTGTGAGGTAAGGGTTGGACTGGCGTGTAAATGGATCTGAAATCAACGTATAGGTCGATGCAAGCTCCCTAGCGACAAGAATGGTGCTGGGAAAAGATGGAGCAATGTTGGAGGACGCTTGCTTGCTTCGGCCAACAAACGGCGTCCAACATATCATCTTGGCTGAACTAGATGCTGCAATCAAAAGCCTTGATTTGGCACTCCAATGCCAGCTAAAGAGTATACAAATAAAAACTGATTCCTTACGCGTGTATCACTGGTTGCCTGACACCTCCACGGGCAAAGCTAGGATATCAAAGTAACACCCGAGATGCTGGTGAGAAGAAGGTCGAGCACAATGAAGAAACTGGTGCAAGAATATAAGTTGTTTGTCGACGTGATGCTGGGCGCGTCAAACCAGAACTTGGTAGACAAGATAACCAGTCTACACCAAAAGTCGCTCCATATGGCCAAAAAGGGGGGCTGAATCTGTACAGCGGGTGTGTCCTGCTTTTTTCAACACTATGAGTCCCAGTCAGATAATAGAAGTACAACGACGCAATAGGCTTTCATCAGGAGTACGGCGTACCACATATTTTGTGAGAATAGTTTGTCCTTCTGTGACAAAGGGCATGGCAAAATCGGCCATTGGTACTTGTGTGTAGTGCACAACAGTAGATCTCTTGTTAGTCCATTGGGAAAAGGGCAAACTAGGAGTGAACAATAATTAGTAACGGTTTGGCATGGATATCACTCACTACCGCGGCAGTCATTACCTGATGCTAAGAGATTGTGGCCCATCACGCTTTCTGTGTGGCGCCCGTTACACCCCCAAGACTCGTTGACTATCATACATCAGCTGGAGTCCGTGCTCTGTGAGAAGGGACCATCACCTGAGGTACCTACAGACAATGACACTGCGTTCCGCAGCAAAGAGTTCCTGCCCTTCGCCCATGAATAGGACGTGCATTTGCCATTTCGAGGCGCACATATCCCCGGAGCCTTGTCCCAGAAGTGTCAAAAGGCTTATAGTGAATTGTTGTGTTGAAGATGTCACCTACTGGTACAATGTAACCCCGAAAGATAACGCCTCACCACTGACTCAAGTCTATAGGTACGAGGTTCGGCTTAAAGGTATTGAGTACCTCCAACGATTTCTGAGATGGTCCACAACGTGTACAAGGTCGGAGACCCTGTGTGGGTAAAGGCCCCACACAACCGGTGTACAACTTTCGGAAAGGGACGAATTACTGGACATGTTAGTCCACAATCAGTCTTAGTGGACGGAATGTCCCGCCATGTCAGGGATCTTCGTCCTTCCCTGAATTCACGATCTTGAAAATATGCCCAACAGAGAGGATGGAATTCTCGTGAACGTACATAGACCAAATAATTCCATCGAGGAAGAATCATATAGGGAAGAATAAATATGGAAAAGGAAATAAAATTTTCGGTATCAAGTGTCAATCGGTCGGAAGGAAAGGAATTTCATTCATAGGCTTATATAGTCAGACAGCATTCTCTATAAGGCAGTCGCAAGCTGTCCATCAAGGGCAGTGGTTAGCTACACATAGATAGGTAAATCGATAGATAGATATATAGATATAAACATACTGTGATAGATAGATAGATAGATAGATAGATAGATAGATAGATAGATAAGAATAGACTGAAATAGATAGATATGAACAGACTGTGATAGATAAGAATAGACTGAAATATATGCTGATAGATAGATAGATAGATAGATAGATAGATAGATAGATAGATAAGAATAGACAGGTATATATGAACAGACCGCGATAGATAAGAATAGATTGAAATAGGTAGATAGACTGAAATAGATAGATATGAACAGACTGTGACAGATAAATAGATAGATATAAAGAAACTGTGGTAGATAAAAACAGACTGAAACAGATAGATAGATAGATAGATAGATAGATAGATAGATAGATAGATATGAACAATCTGAGATAGATATGAACAACCTGAGATGGATAGATAGATATGAACAGACTGAGATAGATAGATAGATAGATATGAACAGACTGAGATAGATAGATAGATAGATAGATAGATAGATAGATAGATAGATAGATAGGAATAGACTTAGATAAGAATAAAGTATAGTTCATAGATATGAACAGAATAATATAGATATGAAGAAACTATAGTGGATAGAGAGACAGTTAGACATCAACAGAATAAGATAGATAGATAGATAGATAGATAGATAGATAGAAATAGATATGAACAGACTGTAATGGATAAGAATAGACTGAAATAGATAGATATGAACAGACTGTGATAGATAGATAGATAGATAGATAGATAGATAGATAGATAGATAGATAAAGAACAGACTGACATAGAACATAGATAAGAATAAACTTCAATAGATAGATAAATAGATCCTGTTAGAAATGGGTATCTCTTCTCAATCCAAGAGGGATGTATTTCTTCGTGTGGAATGATGGTCAGCGAACTGAACAGGTTGTTTATTATCATTCAGTACAAAGTTCGGTCTTCACTGGGTGCTACCTGCACTTGGCCATGCGCCATACTAAACGAAGCTGAATAAATATTTACAGTCTAAGACAGACAAATATAAACGGGCTAAAATAGATCGGTAATGAAATACAAAGAAAATGCGATACGTTTATTTTCTAACTTTGACGATGATTAATATCTAAATAGTTTTTTGCACATCAAGTCAGCAGAAAACACGTGCCCACTGACAATGAATCATTATTTAACACTAACAGTCCTATTTTAATACCACTCGCATATCGTATTTTATTTCCCTTCCCGTTCAGTATTTTAACTTCTTTCTGGCGTGCCGATCCCGCGTCCCAAGTTCTGGCTTCACACGTAAAAACAAAAACGCAATTAGCCGCCAGAACTGAAAACTTAAACCTTTCTTTTCCAGAACGATATAGCAACCGGAAGTGAGGATATCCACCCGGAATTAAAAATGTAAAGAAACTCCTGTTTTCCAAAATATACGCAGTAATCGAGTTCTGTAATGTTCTCACTGAAAAATAAATTCACTCGTTCATATCAGTCATATTCAATCGTGTTACCGCAAGGAAAGTTGGTTCCCTGTGTCACACCAGAATTTTTTTTTTTCGCGCCCGAGGCCATCCTTCAAATCTATAAATCAACCATTCGCCCTTGCATGGAATACTGCTGTCATATACGGTCTGGAGCCCCCGCTGTTCGCCTTAAGGTCCTCGACAAAATCCAGAAACGAATATGCAATGTTATTGGCCGTGATCTAGCATCTCGTCTACAGTCGCTCTCTCAGAGACGCGCCGTCGCTTCCCTCTGACTTTTCTAAAATACTTTTACGGTAATTCCTCCGACGAGAAACTTTCGCTAGTTCCCAAACTGCATGAATTTAAATGTACAACTAGGTTGGCATCTCAGTCCCACCCTTTCACTGTCGAAACGGTTAAATATAGCCATCTCTTCTACTCCAATAGCTTCATGTCTCTCACTTCCCGTCTGTGGAACTCCCTTCCTTTTACTTGCTTTTCTGATAGCTATAATCTCCAACTATTCAAATGCAATGTCTCCAGATGTCATGATCTATTCCCCATCCTTCTCTCCATCCTTTCCTCTATCAAGCCTTTTTACTCTTTCTCCCACTCTCTGTAACCCCTTGCGTACTCGTAGCACTCCCGCCTTGCTTGGGATGTAAAGTTTTTAAAAAAATTCATTTTATTCAGTTAGTGCATTTTGCGTTGCTGTGGTCCCCACTCTCTTCCATCTCACAATTGTGGCTCATGGTGACATTCAAGGCACAATCAGGCAAGGAATGACCGGTTCCTTTTGCCCCAGGGGATTTTGAGGTTACCACGTCCCTCCGCTCAGAGGTGGGTTTGTTTTTGAAGTTTTCTTCTAGCCTTTTCCTAAAAAGGAAGGACTTACAAGGTAACGGGTGATTTGAATTCAGAGTTTCCTTTTTCTAGACTGGTTTCCACCCAAGGCTACAGGACCCAGTTTGCCCTGCTATTTTACCCATACTCAATCATTCAGTTCAAACTGCTAGACAATCAAAAATGCAGATTATATTTATTAGAAAGTGAGGACTGTGCAGCTCCAGACCAGATATGACAGCAATACTCCATTTCTGGTCTAATCTGAATCTTATAAAGATGAAGCGTGCCAGAAAGTATCTACCAAGGCTGGATAGTGAGGATTGGGCTGCTCCAATCCAGATATGACTGCAATACTTCATTTTAGATCTAGTCTGCCTCTTATAAATATAGGGTGTGGCAGGGGGAGCTAGATACCTTCTGGAGCTGTACAAAGAGTCGACCATTTTTCCAGCATCTTTAGCAATATTGCGTATATATGAATTCCACTTTTTTCTTTTTTTACAGTGATGTTCACCCTGTACAAGAGCCACTCGAGGTAGAGGTTTACAGAGTAACAAGGCACATTTTATGGGGATACGTGGGGAAGATAACGGTTGACCGTAGACTTCAACAAGTTAAGAATGTAGAGGTCTTGGGAGTGGGTGACACAAAGTAGCGATTCGAGGGACACCCAATATGGCCCGTATTTACAAATCCAGTAATAGTCATTTTTCAAACACTCATTTCAGTGCTAAACCGCTACGAAAAAAAAAAGCAAAGAAATAAAGCCTGATTAGTTTATGCTGTGGTGATTTTCTGTCACAGTAGCAGCAGGAGACACAGACAACTGACTGTGTCAAATATATGTAATAATAGAAACAGCTGAATGGTGCCTTTAAAAACCATGTTTTCCAAAAAGCAATCTTCTCTTTTTATCTTTGTGTAAGGTCACAAAGTAGCAGTAAGCGCTCCTCTCCAGCTGGCTGGTAATTGGAATTTTTCTTTGTTAAAAAAAATTAGACATTTGTATTCGGACTCTTTTGCCAATGAAAGGTGTACCTTTTCCACAGCCAAAGTGTTAATAGTTTTATTTTATTGTATGGAATAAATATTTAATAACATCAAAACATGTCGGGTATTTGTTTTTGTTTTGTTTCGCTTTGTAGAAAACATTTTTTTAGTGCTATACATTACTTCTCGGTATAGATCCACAACATTTTCATATTTTACTTCCATATTGGTCATATAATATTATAACTGTTCTGGAGTGGTTTCACAGTGGAGGCTTGTAATTGTACTAAGTCGGTCCTAAAAAAGGTTCGACGTACAAAACGTTAGGAACTTGATATAATAGGTAATGACGCAGAGAAATCTAGTTGTGGTCGCTGATATTTTAGTATCCGACTAACGGTCGTCCGGCATCGACTGAATGAGCGACCCACTGAGCGATATTCAGTCACCCCCTCCCACGAGGGCATCATGTGGCACAAGGCCGGTTTAACGTGGGATCTCCGAGCCCGTGTGCTCGGCCAAAAATATGCCCCTTTGAACCCGTATAAACGGGTTCCGGGGTCAATTTACCTCCCGAAAGAGACTCCGCCCTTCGGCGTAGCCTCATTCGGGTTCCTCCCCGCTTGAAGGCAGAGAGGTCAGCCGGTCGTCCGACTTCAAACTGAACTCAGACCGACCCCCTGAGCGACCCCCGTTACTCTTACTACTCCTACTTATTATAGGTGGGAGAGTCTATTAACTATAGAATAGGTGTGTTCCACTATAACAATAACATAGATATTTACTCAGTTTAATCTGAAGTTTAAATAGGATCAGGTGCCGTGCCAGTCTTTCAAATGTTGAAAAATAAGCTTTCCAGATGCTTTTTTTTATATTGTAACAGCGACCTTACTTGCAACAAATGGAGAAAAGTGAAAGAGTTTTTTTTTTATTTCTTGTGATTTACATTACCCCAATCGCTTGCCTGTTCCGGTGCATCGTATATAAGTTTTGGGAGACTGAGAGTTTTTTTGAGGTATAACACCAGGTAATAGTCGAAATAGGCACGTGGAGAAAACCAACAAGCATATGTAGTCGAGTAAGATAGACTTGTTGGAGAAATATTCCACGAATTATCGCATTGTAATAGTCGGGAGATAGTCTCTGCTGCTTCTGGGATCACACCTGGCCGAAGTCATCGCTGTTGACGGAAGCGCATTGGTGTTGCTGTTGATGGTGTGTAGTTTATCGTGTCCGGTTAAGCTTGCCTGCCGTGGGTGAAATCAGTGTTAGCTTTATAGAGAGTCAGTGGCCCAGAAACGGCTGCTACAAAATCATGTGGGTTTTTTTATGAATTGTCAGTTAAAATGTTTTATGACCCTGGTATTTTGGGGGCGGTATTCCGGAAGTGCTGCGCAAAGCCGGACGAAATTATGGTGTGTTTTGTCATATGAGCTGTGGATACAGAAGTAAGCATTTTGAGTTAAATAATTGGCGTTCCAACAGGGTACGACAATATTAAGCTTAAATTTTCCATTTTGAATGATTAAAGTATATATATATATATATATATATATATATATATATATATATATATATATATATATATATATATAAACACTAATTTTTTATATTCAGCTCTACTTAGATATATATATATGTATGATTTTTAAATTTTTTCCAGTACTGGTGTAATGGTTAGAAAGCTTGTCTCGTTGTTAGAGTGGAACACACCTATTCTATAGTTAATAGACTCTCCCACCTGTAATAAGTAGAAGTAGTAAGAGTAACGTGGGGGTGAGTCAGTCGATGTCGGACGACAGTTAGTCGAATACTAAAGTATCAGCGTCCACAACTAGATTACTCTGCGTCATACCTATTATATTAAGTTCGTAACGTTTTTGAACGTCGAACCTATTTTAGGACCGACTTAGTACAAACACAAGCCTCCACTGCGAAATAACTCCACAACACTCGTTAAAATAATTACGACTGAATAGTGAGTTGGATCCTCACTGGCTGCCCTTTACTTTCGACCTTGTGCCACATCCAAGCTACGCTTGGAAAATCACTATATATATATATATATATATATATATATATATATATATATATATATATATAATCAGAATATATCCATATAACAAATAATATATATATATATACAGGAAGAAGTTACAACAACCCCAATAAATTACACGACATTGGGGTTGTTGTAACTTCTTCCTTTAATGTCGTTCTTATCATTCACCCCTTAGCCACCTATATCTAAAGACGAGTCACGTTAAATTTGAGCAACATCTATCCGACACACCGGGGTTAAAATAGGAAACTAAAATGATACATATGACACACTCATATCCTCTCTCCCACCTCACTTCCTCACTTCGTTAACTTTACGTATACTTGATGAGGTCCGTAAAAACGTGTGAATTTCTTTTCATTTCAGCTTTTGGAAGTAAAGTCTGATGATCCAGAACCCTGTTAAAGGGGTTCTGGTGAAATAACAATACATGGAATCTTA